GACTGAATAAAGCTTTTCTCAAAATTGACAAAGAAATCTTTGCTTCATCATAGTTTTACTGACAACCAGATTAGTCCGGTAAACTTAAAATGCAGAATACATTTCTGGGCTTTGCTATCATTTAGAAATATGATTCCTCAATCTAAACAGAAAAACTGAATTCATTCAGCATCACTGGATTCAACCTGTTAAGAATCTTTTGTTTACAAATGACTTGGATGAATACCTGTCCTCCATTCAGACTATGCACATAGTAAATTACTACCAACACGAAGAAGGGATTCATAAGCTGTCCCCTATGTTTTAAAAGGAAATTAGTATTAGTATTACAAAGAAAAATGTCTGGTGGACTGAAAAGTTTTTCCTAATAATCACTGCATATGGGCAGGAGTAGTGCATGCTTTCACACTATTGCTGTCAATGTCTCTCAAACCTTGCATGGAGGAACTATCTCAGGTGGGGAGTGCAGGAGGAGTTTCTCTGCTCATTCTTTGATTTCTTAGAGTATGCTAACAAGGTGGCAGTTGAGATATGGACATATGTAGTAAGAACTGGACTATAATCACCAATCTATTTCACATACTCCACTGAACAATCAACAGCAAGTAAGAACTGGTGGTAGCTACTGAGCTGGGCTGGATTCAAAGCCTAATAGGTAAAAGTTCTTTATTCCACTATCAGTTCCTTGAGCTGCCATGTTTGTGAAAAGCAGAAATTCTTCACAATGCTTTTCTACTATTCCCAACTTGTTTTATACATGACAGTACAATTAAATATAGAAATTGGAAAGCATGGGGAATGCATTTTTTGTCTTTCATTTAAAAAATGAAATTAATTGCAAAACACTAGTGTAATGTTAAAAAGGCATTTTAAAAATTAAGGCAGGATATGCCCCCGGAAGGCTTATACAATATAATTTACCTGGGCATGTCACACATCTTCTGAAACTTATGGTGCACATCTAACAAACTAATACATTAAGGGCCAGATTGTAAACCTATTGCTCTCATTGGTAATTCACAGCAGATTTCACAATTGGGCCCTAAATTACCCATTCAGAAGAAAAATCAGGCTTGAAAAATACTCCTTAAAAATACTATGTTCCAAGTTAATAGTGCTGTAAATATTTTAACATTTCAATTTCCTGTCTTTTAAAACTGTGCAATCTGAATATGGCATTAATGTAAGTTCTTCCGATCTCCCCAATTAATTTCACAATTTTAAGTTTAGAACAAACAGGATTTAATATGGAATGCAGACCTGCTTAAACTTATGTTCTCAGAATCAAAACAATGGATAGTCACCAGATTTATATAGAAAATATTTTGCTTTTAAATTGACACATATGTAGGTACGCAGAGATGGCACTATGGCGCTCACTATATTCGCTAAAGTGTGACATGTACTCTAATGATATCCAACAGTTACGCACACACTAAACATCACGTAAATGATAAAAATGTCCATATTGAACTGATGCATTGAAATACTTGGCACTCACTAATGAAGTGATAAATTGTAGGGGAATATATCAGCTGACCTGCTTAAGTGGAGCTGGGTTTTTTAGCCCAGTTGGTAGGGCACATCAATTAGAAAGCCTGGAAATCTTCATTCCTACCTTAGTACTGACCTCTCCCTGGGAGTTCACTCATTAATATGGATGTCTACCTGCTTATTTACAGAGGTGTGTGCATGTTTGTGCAGAATACAGTTGTCATGTGGCACATGCATGGTGTTGAGACACAGCATTATCAAATGAGTAGTGACAGCTAAGTTTGTTGCATTCCTGAGCATTAATGATAGCACAGTGCAATTTGTGTGTAAGACTTTTATTGGGCCAAACACACACCCTTACAAGATGTCTTTGGTACTCTCATTTGTCCCTAAAACAAAAGTTAATTTTTTTACCATTAAAGGAAATAATCCAAATAATTGGATACATAATATTAAAAAATGTGAAGAACAGTTTACCCAATTAAGCACACCCTGAGGACAGCTGACGGTGGATGGAATGATTTGAAGTACTTTAGACATTTATTTACTGATGTCTGGTGAGTGATCTTCACAGCATTCTAGAAATGTATCTATATTGAAGCAGTGACTGAGTTTTTACCTTTCTTCTTTAAAGGCCAAATCTTTTAAGGGTTAATATTGGTTTAGGGGATGGGCCATTAAGGATCTATTTTTTAATATTATCTTGAAGTAAATATCATAGGCTGGGCACCCTAATTAGGAAATTCATGCTTGTGTTCTTGTTTTGGAGAATTTTTAATAGGAACTCTCATATTGTAATTGTACTGCATTTACAGCTTGGAATAGTGACAGAGAAATTGAAATAAATGCTAGTCTCAGTGAAATCAATAGCAAAATGTCAAATTAGACTAGTATTTAGCCCTAAGAGATGACCAAAAGTCTGTAATGTCTCATAAGATTTTTTTTTAGATGAAGTGACTAGCACTGTTCACATATTCCAAATGAGGCCTTTTGAGCACCTGCACAGCCTACTGCTTATTTTGTGGCCAGAACTTGAAAAACTCCCCCCATTCAATCCCCAAAGAGGAGTCCAGTTTAGGTAGTTGGTCAGTTAAGGGTAGTAGGTTTCAGTGGTCCTCTTAGGAGCCTCAATTACCACATAATCAATTCATTTATTTTTCATTTAAACTAAAGATGGTCTGGGTTTATAGAGATCCTGAACTCCCCACAGCTCCCATTGACTTCAGTGGGAGTGGGAGTTGCATATGCTCAGTGCTTCTGAAACTACGCCCACAAATTAATGCATCATCAAGTTGGAGAAAGAAAGCACTCAATAGTTAAGAAAATCCAAAAGCTAATGTTTCTGCTTCAACATCAAATTGGTTTTGTTGCACATTCTATATGTTTTATTATTAATTTATATACCATACGGTGAATAGGATGTGCAACATGGCCAAGTTAATATTACAGCAGGAAAACTGTTGTTTATCATTTCCTGACTTCTTTGAGTGCTTGATTCTTCAACTTCAGTAACGTACTAGTGCTGTTTTATGTGTTTAATAGATCATTGGCTTGAGTGTATTCCACTCACCAAGTGCTGATATTATGATTAATTTCAGAGGGAGCAGTGAAGTTAAGGGCATTTTTTATTTGGCCCAGTATTGTAAAATTTCTGCTTTTTGCATTTTTCATTGCGATTATATTATGAGGTGAAGGAAATTTGGTATAGGTGGGAATTTGGCTGCACAGACCACCTAAGGTGAATGGGACTTGGTGCATTCTTAGCGCCAGCTTTTGTTTTTATCCCATTCCAAACTCAATGGGACTACTACAGTCCATAAAGTTATTTGTGTATAAGTATTTGCAGAATTGGTGATTTACTCTTGTAGTTTCTTCCCTTGGATTACTTGTTAAGAATTTTGGGGTACAATTTGTTTAAGACACAATACAAAACAAAGCTGAACTAACAGCATTATAGGCTAAAATAAAATTCTTAATGGGGGGAGGGATAGTTGGAGCATTGGCCTGCTAAACCCCAGGATTGTAAATTCAATCCTTGAGGGGGGCCACTTAGGGATCTGAGGCAAAATCAGTACTTGTTCCTGCTAGTGAAAGCAGGGGGCTGGACTCAATGACCTTTCAAGGTCCCTTCTAGTTCTAGGAGATAGGATATCTCCATATATTATTATTATAATTTTAAAATAATCTTAAAACCATTACTTTTTCCACTATAGAACTAACATATACACAGTGGTAATAAAGCTATTAGGTAAAAGTGTCTAAATATATTAAATAGAAACATCGGATGTGCATCTGTGATGGTATAAAGTAGAGATGACATGATTGTTGCCAAAATAACTGCACTATTTGCAAACAGAATAGACCAAATTCATCTCTGGCATAAGATCTCCCCTGGAAGCAAATGCAAGTTGGACATGTTTATGGAAGGGCTAAATATAGCCCAACAAAAGACTCTGATTCAAATTCTGTTTTCACCTACATGCTTGCTGCTCCATCTGAAGTCAAAGGAATCTGTCCCTTAGAAACTAGGAAGGCCCTAATTTTGAAAATACACAGAAATAACTTTGTGAATAGCTGCATTGAGTTCAATGGGACTACTGGCATCCATAATTGTTTGCAGGATTAGGTTCTAGTGTATGCTGCTTCTGTTGTCCTTTTCCTCTGAGGGCTCTTCCTGGTGTGAAGGCCTATATCCTGAAAGCTGAACCATGTGAGCGGACCTCTGGATCCGCTTGCAGGATCTGGACCTTCCTAAACTGTAAAGACCAAATACCGCAAGGCATGTTTAACAGTGTGCGCTGTGAAGAATTGCATCGACACCAGACTCTTATCAAAGTCAATGGGAATATTTGCAGTGAGTAATGGAAGGCATATATTGGAGCATACAGGATGAGTTTTTGGTTTAGGGAGCCAGCTTTCTGGTTGGGAGAGAGTAGAGCAGCCACCTCTGCTTCACTCTGGATTAATGAAGGCATTTCTAAAAAGTCCCCCTTTGCAAAATCCTTCATCCCCCCCCCCCATGTGCTTTAGTAATGAGATATTTTGAATATCTGACCCAACATTTTATTTCCCTTTCCCTCTTCATTTGGTGTGTGTAAATTGGAACTTCATTCCTTTAAACCTGTAACAACCTGAGAACCCAGCTTGAAGGGTTTGGGGAGATAAAGTGGGGGGAAAAAAACAACAACAACCTTAGCTGTCTGCCTGTCTTTCTTGAGGAACAGTGTAAAGTGGCGGTTTGGGGATTTTTTCCTCCCTCCCCAAACTAGGGAAGCGTTAATTATAATGAAAGGAGAAGTTCAGGCACCGCTCCGGGTGTTTAGAGGAAACGTGCAGGGCTGTGCTGGACTGGGACTGTACAGCCCCCATGGGGGACACACCTAGCCAGAGCTTTTGGAGCAGCACCGTGGGTCAGGCAATGGAGCCGGGCCCCTGCCCTGTGCCTCCGAGCGCATTCAGCGCTGGCTTGGGGCCGGGCCCGTAGGGCAAAGGTTGCTGCAGCAGGCTCTGGGGCCGGTGCGGGGAGCGCCGCACTGTGCACGGACCGGGCAGCCGACACCCCGCGTGTGTCCCCGGAGCAGTTCAGTCCTGTCCCCACCTCCACCCCCTGCGGCAGCGCCACCCCCGCAGAGACACCTCCTGGCCCGGCGCAGGTGACACTGACACTGGCGGCTGCTCCGGCCACCGCCGAGCTTCCTGCTTCCCAGAAGGTGCCGGCGCCGCGGCAACAGGAACTGAGGCTGGGAGGAGGCGGTGCCGCCGCTCCCCGCCGCGCTCACGGCCCGAGCCGGGGGAGCGGAGCAGCCATGGGCCACCGCCAGCAGCCGCTGTAACCTCCCCCTCCCCCGGGGCCGGCGCGTCCCTCCTTTCCCTGCCGGCCGGGCGAGGTGTTTCCCCGCGGGGGCGCGGACCGGCCGCCCGGGGCCCGAGATGTGACCATGGACAGCAGGATCAAGTGAGTGCCGGCCGGCAGGCAGGGGGAGCGGCGCGGGGGCTGCTCGGCGGAGGGGGCGGCCGAGGCGGCTCTGGGGGCTGCGCTGGAGGAGGGACTAGGCCTCAAAGCCTCCCCCAGCCTGGCGGGGTGTGGGGCAGGGGCCTGGCTCTGCGCTGGGCACGCACAGGGGGCGGCTGAGCAGAGCCCGGGGCACGACAGGAGCGGGACTGCACTGGGCTGTCATGGGAGTCCACATGGCAAAATCCCCTCTTCCCCGCAGGTGTGACACTGGCAGCCTCCGAGTGAACAGCTGGTGGCTCCCTACCCAATTCTCCATCCCCCAGTGGAGACGCCCTGTCATGAATCCTACAGCCCGCCCCACAAGGAGAGCTTGTCAACCCCACACCCTTCCTCCCCCCAAAGAAACCCCTCTTTGCTTTAGCATCCTCCATTCCCAGCAAGAGACTGGAGAACACACACTCTGTCAAAATGACCCCCCCCCCGTCAATCATCAGAGACTGTTGTACTGCACCTTAAAGTGAGCCCCACTTGCTAAATCCTTCATCATCAGAGGATGAGATAAAGGTACACAGGGCCTTATAATAATCTTCATCCCAGTGAAGGAGTCTGCCCCACAAGTGGAAAAATTGACAGGCCATTGTTTCTGTCTCTGGAGGCATACACATAACTAGTCTTCATAAAAGACAGTACCAGCCTAAGGTTTGGTACCTACGAAACTTCTCAGAAGAATGTCCACGATGACTTGTTTGGGTGTTAGGTGGATTACAAAAACAATACTGAACAAACTTTTGCACTTCTACTTTTTGCCTATTTATTGTCTCTTTGTATCTATTGCCAATAAATGGTGATTTTAAAAAAATATTCCAGCTATTTTACTTTACTGTCATATTTGTGAAGAATACAGATGAATGAGTCTTGGTTTTGAAAAACAGCTAAAAAATAGTGTGTAAAACTAGTAACATCAAAACAGAGGTTGTTTATAAACATTCTTCTAAGGAATCTATCATTTTTCTATGTGATTATTGAAGAAAATTACGGTTTTTCAAGAAGTTAAGAGAATAATTCTACCTCGAGAGAATTTTAGTGTAACCCAGATGTGTTGACAAAGTAACTTTTGTGAAGTTAATTTTTTGTGATGGTTTGAAGCTACTTGCCCATTGTGAATAGTCCCATTGACTTCCTTAATTCAGTAATTGATGAGAGGTTAAATCTGAATTTTGTAAACTGACAGTAATCTGTATTTATGATGAATCTGCTATTTAATAGTTATAATAGAAATGAAAGTCAGTCTGACATATATCACACTAGTTTGACATATTTCTTGACACTTCTAAGTATAAGTAACACCTTCTATGTGGGAGGTGAAGAGTAAACCTAGAACTTTTCTGTGGAAGCAGACTTTGAGGTGGTGTATTGAGGGATGAAACACATTTTCATATGCTGTCTTATTGACTGTAAATTCAGTTAAGAAGTTGAGCTCTGAAGTCCTAATCCTGTATTTGAGACACTTTTTAAAATGGAAATGAATGTGTTAAATCCAGCATTCTGATTTTCCCCTCCTTTAAGGAAGGGGGAAAATGTGCCAAAAGAGCAAAAACACACCTAGGTTTAAATTTCATTTAACCCTTTCATGGTAGAGGGATTCCACTCTTCTCACTACAGGCTGGGTTCTTACAGCTCAGTTTTGCCCTCATTTAAATGAGTGTAACTCTAATTAGATTCATTCTGATCTTGCTAGCTGAGGGGAGAAACAATGGATCATTTTCTTTTCTGTTACACTCCTGTAAATCTCAAGTAGTCTGGATTTACACTGGTGTAACTGAGAGCAAAATTTAGACAAAAAAATAAAAAAAGTGCAGAACTAGCTCATTCAGGATCCTCCTTTAAGATTTTCCAATTGTATAATTTAAAAAATGATGCAGGGAAGGACTATGATGTGGGAAGATATGTGATTGTTGCTCAGAAATTTGATATCAGTCTTAATATAAATGCATATTGTCAATACTTGGTGACAAAATAGATGATAGAAAACACATTAAGTAACTGGTGACCTCTGAAAGTTTCCCTCTAGTCCAGAGGTGGGCAAACCATGACCCGCGGGCCACATCCGGCCCGTGGGACCCTGAGCTCCTGGCCCTGGAGGCTTGCCCCTGGCACTTCCCATGCTCTTCCCCCTCCCCTGCAGCCTCAGCTCACTGCACCACTGGCGCAATGCTCTCATTGGTGGGGCTGCGAGCTTCTGGGGCAGCGCAGCTGCAGAGTCCGGCCTGACCCGGTGCTCTGTGTGGCAGGGTGGCGGGGCTGGCTCCAGCCAGGCAGTGCGGCTGTAGCGTCACCAGCCACCGGTACTCCAGGCAGCGGGTAAGGGGGCAGGGGAGTTCGGGGTTGTGGCTAGGAGGTGGGGCGGTCAGAGGGCGGGGAACAGGGGTTGAATGGGGGCAGGGGTCCCGGGGGGGCAGTCAGGAAGGAGAGGGAGGATTGGATGGGAGGGCGGGGGGCAGTCAGGGGCAGGGGTTCTGGGGGCAGTCAGGGGACAGAGAGAGGGGGTGGTTGGATGGGGCAGGGGTCCTGGTGGTGGCAGTCAGGAAAGAGAGGAGGGGTTGGATGGGGCGATGCGGGGCAGTCAGGGGCAGGGGTTCTGGGGGCTGACAGGGGACAGGGAGTGGGGTGTGTGTGGATGGGGCAGGGGTCCCAGGTGGGCTGTCAGGGAACAGGGTGGGTTGGATGGGGCAGGAGTCCGGGGGTGTGTGTCAGTGGGCGAGAAGCAGGGCAGGGGGGAAGGGGTCGGATGGGGGCAGGGCCGGGCCACGCCTGGCTGTTGGGGGAGGCACAGCCTCCTCTAACTGGCCCTCCATACAATTTCCGAAACCCGATGTGGCTCTCAGGCCAAAAAGTTTGTCCGTCCCTGCTCTAGTCCAAAATCCCTCTAAAACTTTTTTTAAAAACTTCTATTGAATTATCAATCTGTGATATGCTTTATATGCATCATTTTAGAAACCTGGGACCCAGTTTTGAATTCCTTACTTGTGAAAAACTGCCGACTTCTATAGGCATTTTACTCAAGAAAAGAGTTCAAACCTGGGCCCTTTATGTGGTTACTTAGATAAATAATTGATATGGTGGAGGTTATAATATTTGCTTTTAATATAAATGGCAGATTGCTCATCAGAATGAGAATTTAAATAACTCAGAATGGTAAAAATAAATTAAGGGTTGCTTCTGAACCTAACATAATAAATCAAGAAATTACTGAAATGTACAAGTTTATTCACAGACAGAGAATGTTGTGTAGTAATGGTACTCACTTGTGGCTGTTCTGGTCAAATAATTATTTAAATTTAGGCTAGGGTTGGGCCCTTAAACATGCCAGTGGCAGTAACTTCTGAAGGAGATGGTAAGGTGACTGTCAAGTTTCAGTTGGTGACCAAATATATTAAAAAGATAAATGTGCTAATGGCTCAGTTTGCAGGAATTAAGATGGAAGCCTAATCCTGGTTTACTTTCTTCATACCTTAAAAACAGAAGTGGTTCTACCTGGTGAAGTGGAAAAGGTTATCAGAGAGGCCCAATCTACATATTGGTGTCTAATTGATGGAAAAAATGCTGTTAGTTTCTTTATTATCTATCTGTAAAGTTCAGTTTTGTAAAGCAAACTGTCAACAAGTTTATAATTGTATTTACTTCAACATGACTATTTAAAATGGGGTAATGACATATGAAAGGACTGAAGAGCTCTCAAACATATAGGACTAAGATTTATCAGTGTAATCACAGAATTTTGATTGTTTTAACAATCATATAATTATTCTCAATTCTTGTTTCTGTTGCCTATTCTTTTTTGAAAAGTGTGTGAATATATTACAGGATGTGAAGGAAAATACGACTTCTGAAATCTTACAAAACATCCAAATAATTGAGATTCTCTCTCTAATTTTATAGTGTCAAATGGAGTGGAAAGGATATAACATTATGGACACTGTAGAGAAGGCTTGATAATCTAGATCAGTCTATGTGGTTTGTGACATATGTATGACTAATCAATTGACTTGTTTTTTATTTCCAGGGAAAATCCAGAAAGTACATTTGATTTGGTACTCAAGGTAAAATGCCAGGCTTCTGAAAATGAAGGTAATGTACTCCAACTGTTGGCATTTATTTATAGAAACTAGGGGTGGAAAAGACCCTATTAGATTATTTAGTCCACACACCCTCTATTTTGTCACCTCATGCTTTGAAGTGTTGATAGTTTGGAATTCTGTTACTGCTCATTGCTATTATTCTAATTCATTTTTCAGTTATTAATATTCTGATGATAGAAGGGCAAGCATTTACAGCAGTTTATTGTTGATATGGTGGTTTGTGTTACATACTTATACCATTTTAATTCCTATAATCTTTCAGTCAATAAAACGTAGGTTTAATAAGTCATTTCATTTTAGTGGTATGTCTCAGAACTGGGACTCGAGTACTTTGATTTCTCCGTTTGTCTCTTTGGAAGAAAAAAAAATACCTAAGTAGCAGAAAATAACTTTTACTGTAGCAATTTTGGAATAGTGCAAATGGCATTGTGAGCTGACTTGAATTGGTATTAGCAATTAGTTTCACACTCCTATAAGCACTCTGGTGAAAGAGATATGGTGCTGCACGAGTACTAACAAGATCACAATCCTAGTCAGTTATCTGAGCAAGTCTTTTGGTTGCAATTTGCATGTAGGAAAACATGGGACTTCTCAGGTCAAAGTTACAGTGCTGACTAGAATTGACTAGAATTTCTAATGAGGGACTCAACAAGAATAATGGCATATAACTAGTTTTACATCTTCTAGGACATCAATGTGTCCCCTTGACTTTACCCCCTATTGATTTTTCTTGCTTCCCATATTTTTCCTCGTTCACTTATTCTCCATCACATCCTCTGCTTTCAAGCCCACCGCTGTATTCCTTATTCTAATAATTTTCCTTAACCCTTTCAGCCTCTCCAACTGCCAGTGTATATTCTTCCTCCCATTCATACCCAGGCTTCTTGAATTTATTGTCTGTTGCCAACGCCGCAGCTCCTCTAGTCTGACTTCCTCCTGGATCCTCTCTGCATGGTAGTTTCCACCCATTTCACTCTCATGTAATTGCCTTCATTGAGGCAGGATATTATATCCTGTTCCTGGTCAAGTTCTTGGGTGTCTTCTTTATTTTTATCTTCCCTGACTGATCAGCCTCCTTCACACAGTTGGCTACGCTCCCTCTGAGACTTGCTCTCAGTGCTTTTATGCTTCTCTGTGGGTTTGGCTTTCCTTGCTCTCTTAATTCCTCCTTTTAGCAATTCCAATAGAGGCAACTTTCTGGTCATCTCCCGTTCTCCTGCTCTTTCTCTATACTCTCTCCCTTGGTAACCCTCTGTCCATTCTCATATCCTGAATGATAATGAGACCCTGATCTATCTCTCCACACCTGATCTGTCTCCCATGGCCTGTCTTTGCTTTGTGACTGTCTATCTGATATCTTTTTTGGATGTCCAGCCACATTTCAACTCATCTTCCCCTTCACCGAGGCTTGCAACTTTCATGTCGTATTCAGTTTCTTTCTCCCCAGGATATAGTCTGACAATTAATCCATCTGGTGCTTCCTCTCTGGTATCTTTAAAATCTGTCCCTTCTCTATTCCTACTGCCAGAACCTTGATCCATACTCTTGTCATCTCTTGCTTTGATTACTACAGCATCTTCATTTCTGACCATGATTCTCATGTCGTATCCTTCAAGTCTGTCCAGTGTGCTGTTACCAGAAATGTTTGCCTCACCTACAGCTCTGTGATATCTGCCTGGTCAAATCCTACATTGGTGTTCACTCCCCTTCTGCATCACATTCAAACTCCCAATACGCACCTTCAGGACTACAAGGCTTGGCTTCTGCTTACACCTCAACACTAGTTTCTTGGCACTTCCCCAGCTCTCACTGTATGTGCTATTTCAGTTCATCTTAACACTCCTTTGATTGTCTTCTGGTACAAGAGACTGTGGCTTTTCTCATGAGCCCCTTATGTATGGAGTATACTTCTGGCCCTGTGTGCCAGGCTGTTTTGCTCTTCTCAAAGCACTCCTCAAAACATATTTTGGTTACTCTCCTATTCCTGTCCTCACTCCCAAATCTTCACACATTAACATGTATTTTTTAAAAGGAAGCAACTGGATGGGTACTTACCAAGTATATATTTTGATTTCTATTCCATATAGGTTCATATATCACCCTCATCACCATAGAATATGAGCATTTGACAAGTGGTGCATTAAGCAACATGTGTGGTTCAAGTATCAGAGGGGTAGCCGTGTTAGTCTGAATCTGTAAAAAGTAACAGAGGGTCCTGTGGCACCTTTAAGACTAACAGAAGTATAGGGAGCATAAGCTTTCGTGGGTAAGAACCTCACTTCTTCAGATGCAAGATCCCTATACTTCTGTTAGTCTTAAAGATGTGTGGTTCAGTCTCCCTCTCATCCTGTCCCCAGGGGGAGAATTGTGTGTCCAATGTAGTGGGGGCTTTTTGGTAGGGTTTGGTAGGTGTGATGGTCCATTGTTCATGAGGAAGTTCATTTCACAGTCTCAGAGCAGCCCCTAAGAAAGCTTGGTACCTTGCACAGATGAGCTTTACCCATATGGTCCAAAGTTTTGTTGTACCTGTTGTGGTGGTCTTTTAGATATGCTTGGCCCAGGCCCTTGATGCCTGGAAGCGAAAGACAGAGACTTTGAATTTGACTCACTATTCTATGGGGAAACTTTTGTAGAGAGCAGAGGACAGGTTTGTTGTGCTCACGGTGTGGTGAGGTGAGGATGTGCTACAGTGTTCTGTACGAGCTGGAATTTCCTATGTGCTGAAGGCTTCATGCCCAGCTATATTGTATTGCTGTAGTCCAGATAGGAGATGAAAAAGATATGAATCAATGAGGTTAGGTCACCATCTACTATGATGGGATGGAGTCTTCTAGACAGCTACAGATATTGGAAAGCATCACTTGTGGATGCTATGTGAGTGCTTATCATCAGTGAGCAATCCAGGAACCACCCCAAAACTCCCAGCTGAACTGATGAATTATGAGGTATGCACCTTCCACCAAAGAAGACTGCACCTTGGGTGTAGACTCTTCAGAGCGTTTTCCTCTGCCCACCTCTATCTTGCATGGGTTGAACTTCAGCCAGCTGTTTTTAATCCATGAGCAGAGTCCAGTGCTTGGATGAGATGTTTTATGTTGAGTGCTATGGTCATATATGGTGATGTATAGGTAGAGCTGTGTCATCTATGTATTGCTGGCACGTAAGTCTCTATTTTCTTACCAGTTCGCCTAGTGGCTGCATGTTGATCTTGAATAGGACTGGAGAGAGAATTGAGCCTTCTGAAATGTCACAAGTGAAAGGTCTAGTGGCTGAGGTGCAGTTCCCATCACCATTCTTAGGGTGTCACTTGTATATTATAATTATCATCTTTCCATACTCTGGGCATCACATTAGATTGTCTCTTGTATTAAGTCTAATTTAGATCACAGATGCCTCGGGGCAGGGATCTGTCATTGTGTTTGCCTGTGGCACTGAGAGTACAATAGTAGTGTGTCAAATAAATACATCTGAGTATTAAGACTGAATTTATTTAAGGAATTATTGTACATGTAACAAGAGATGAATGTGTAATTTCTCTAACACAGCTTTAAAAACTGAGCACAGGTTTGTTTTACTAAACAGGGAGCTTTCCAGGTCAGTTTATTATAAGGCTAACAAATTTTACATTTACACTGTATTGGAAGACTTGCCTTTAAACAGATTTTCATGCTATGATAATGTTTTGAATATATCGTGTATCAAAACAACGTCCATTCATCAGTTTCTTTGCTGGTGCCGCTTTCTTTCCCATGAAAGAGAATTGTGTTTAAATAGGGACTTTCTCTCTCGCATCCCATCTGCTTCTTGTACTTGATCCTGCAGTGAAGTCAGGGTTGAATCTGTGACATCACTGTCATCAGTGTTGCTGTGGAACTATCACAAGCACAGAATTATGATCGCCCTGCATGAGTGAGCAGCAGGAGAAGTTGAGTTAGGAGGGAGAAAGACCTTAATGTGACCCAGAGACCTTTAAGGTTTTCATTTCAAGTTTGTTCTAGAGTGAGCTCCTCTTTTAGTTATTTTTTGCATTTTGTTTAACCACCCTTTGTTAGCTGTGCTACAGTTCAAACAAATAAGTAAAAACTAACACAGCCCTGCTGTGTCTGACTATAAATAAGCTAGTATTTTTAAATAGGATGCTGCACACCTGTACAAGTTTGTTTATGATGTGACACACAGTAATTCGCACTTAAAATTAGCACTTTCCAAAGATGAGTTTTGACAGCTGAACATTTTTAAATAACCCCTAAAATACAACACATCTTTTTTGGAAACAGTCCTGACAACCTTGAAAGTGTTTTTTTCAATCATAGCTGAGCAAATACACAAAAAGTGTCATGGGATTTAAATAAGCTGTGAGGTTGGCTTTGAGGAGAAGTTGAATGATTAAAATTATTGCTTCTGTAGCCAAGAGTAAAATCCAATAAATAAATAAAATCCAAATGCATGCTATTTTAATTAATTGAAAACTTAATTCAATGAATACAGTAGAATCTCGGAGTTACGAACTGACCAGTCAACCACACACCTCATTTGAAACCGGAAGTACGCAATCAGGCAGCAGCAGAGATGCCCCCCTACACCCTCCCAAAAGCATATACAGTACAGTACTGTGTTAAATGTAAATAATAAAAAATAAAGGGAAAGCAGCATTTTTCTTCTGCATAGTAAAGTTTCAAAGCTGTATTAAGTCAATGTCAGTTGTAAACTTTTGAAAGAATCACCACAATGTTTTGTTAAGAGTTACTAACAACCTCCATTCTTGAGGTTTTCGAAACTCTGAGGGTCTACTGTACAATTGAGAAACTCAAAATAACAGTATTTGATTTACTATGGACCTTTGTTTCAACCTTCATCATTTCGTTGTCAGGAAATACTTCTAGTATTTATTTTATTGGGGGACAATGTATTTACTGATGGTGTAAGAATACAGACGCAGAAAAAAGGCCTTAGCTAAGTTGGAGTGTATTGAATGTTACACTTTCAGCA